AGTGTGGTCACTGTTGTTGATTTTATAAAAGCCCCCATGACGAACAATACAGCTAATTTAGGTTCGACTACCAGCATTGATTTCAACTTGGCAGACACGGCCAAGTCAGCTGCTGGCAAAGAGAAGTGTGCAAATCTTTTCGACAGTTTGTTCTTGAGCTTCATTAAAAGGGGTGGTGCATGTCTGAAGGTTGATATCAGTTACTCAAATTAAATGACCCTCTTTAACCCTAAAAGTCTGCATCGTCTGTTAAAAAAAGCATTAGACATTGCTGCAAATGACAATGATGGATTATAATTATCATCTACTCATGTAAAGTGTAGCTAGATACATTTATTTCTTTGAGCATTTTTACTTGGAGACACAACTGAAGGGATGTCTTGGTTGTAAAAATATCTCCAAATAAATGTCTTTCTTTCTTTAGTTAACTGATTAAGAAACTTAAGATACTCCGCTTCAGATCTAATTGAGACCTAAAACAGATTCTATGTGGAGATGCAACTACCTAGTTATATTCCTTTATCTGAACTGTCTATATCCATTTTTAATGAAACTTAAAATAAATAAATAATTCTTCTAATTGATCAAACACAATTTCCAAAGATATTTCATTTTAAATTTATGCAAAACAAAAAAACAAATCAAATTTGACCCAAAACATATTTTTGGGTGATCATAGCTGAAATGCTCTATCGTTTATCAAAGTTGTTAATATGAATGAGCAACTTTCAGCTTTAATGCAGGGTTAATATGATAACAGGATTGTGTGACTACCTTATATTAGAAGTTGGCTCGAATGTAGTTATTATCTAAAATCATTATTAAACAATAATGAATGGCCTTCCACTTATTTAATCATAGTGTCTGAAACGATTATTTTTCAAAGTAAAGTCAGCCCTAAGCCCCTGATCCATCAGTTTGTTGAAGGACTTATTATATTTGTTCAAACACATATTTCAATTTGTATGGACTTTTTTCAGTTGTTCCCGTGCGGTTAAAGTATGTAAAATCTGCTAATGAGTTGTGGACATGATGAGACCTGATGCATCGCCCAAGGCAGCGAGCTGTTCATCTCAATACTAACACAACAGGTTTGTCTCAACACGTGTTTGAACCCATTTTACTACTAAGTTCCAATCAACAATCACATTAAAGACAAAGAAAAATGTTTTCCCGTTTTAAAAGTTTTGACAAGATTGATGTGCCTGAAAATCAGCACTATTTACCAGGAAATACTTGTGTTTAGATTAGTAGAAAATAATTCACAGTTGTGAGGTGACGGAAAAAGTAGAGCAGCTCCAGCCTGTTACTATGTGGCTCTTGTGTCGGAGGGTTTTTCAGACCTCCCATTGCTGCTGCCGCTGTCTGACTGGCTGCGGGGGAGAGAGGGACACAAAGGGTTAAACTGTGCGCCTGTCTTCCTTGGAGATGGGAGAGGCCATTTGAATGGCTAGCTTCTGCAGCTAGCCTACACATTGGCTAAGGCTGAGGGTGGATCTGCTGCTGGGCCTGTGCTCCGACATGGAGCCGGCTGCAGGATCAGGAGTCAGTGTGAGCAGACTGCAATGCTTTGGGAGTGTGTTTGTGTGTACATACATCACATTGGAGAGGAAGTTGAAGGGCAGCTTTTCTAATAAACGATTGAGTCTGAACATAAACCTATAAAGTGGATATTTTTCTTGTTTTAAAGCGTGAAAATCATAATTTTTGTATTTTTGTAAATCCTGTTGCCGAGTAGATTATTTCAATTTACAGACTGACGTAGATAAAAGGTGGTCATATCATTTGGTTTTTTCTAGCACCAAGCCCCCTTTAACTCCCTGTGCACACTGCCATTCTCATATTGCTGCCACCCGCCCCAAACACACACACTCTTTTAATGTTTAAGAGCTTACCTCTGTGAATCTATGAGGACAGGGGGTCCATGTTGTTTTGTTAATTGAAGGGTCAACCTCAGGACACTAATGAAACCAAGCAGCAACAAATGAGAGCGAGCAAAGAAGAACAGACTTTGGAGATAATTGTCACATAAATGTCCCTTCTTGTTTTGTTTTATGTGGGTGAAAATGATTTCAAACCCCTAAAAGAAGGAACATAATCCCAACTTTACGAGCTGAACTGTAACCTGCCCTTAACCTCAGGGACTCAGTATCTCCTCGGCTGTCAAACGGTCTTAATGTGGCTCTCGTGGCTGACAAGCTAATCTGAGCAGGCAGGTCAGTCAGCTGTATTTACCTCTGAGAATCCTCCATCTATCCACACACACACTTGTACTCACAAACTCAGCTGATCTACTCAAACACACTCACACCTGCAGAGTCTGATGTTACGTAACTGGCTGAATTAAGGGCACGCACACATGTACTAACAGCCAACCTACAGACTTGTCTCTGTCCTTAACTAATCTTGTTTACACCACTAAAATCTTCACTGAACTTCTGTGTGTGTGTGTGTGTGTGTGTGTGTGTGTGTGTGTGTGTGTGTGTGTGTGTGTGTGTGTGTGTGTGTGTGTGTGTGTGTGTGTGTGTGTGTGTGTGTGTGTGTGTGTGTGTGTGTGTGTGTGTGTGTGTGTGTGTGTGTGTGTGTGTGTGTGTGTGTGTGTGTGTGTGTGTGTGTGTGTGTGTGTGTGTACTGCATTTAGAGCATGTGTAAGTTGTGTTACTAGAAAGAAGGCCGGGGCAGTTTTGTTTAGCTCTCTAGATAGTCTTAACATTAGATTAGATTGAATATGTTTTAAGTGTTGGACAGCTGGTCTGACAAAAACAAGTATTACCTTGGGCCCTAGGAAATTGTTATCGACATTTATAAGAATTATAAACATAACTGAGTATATAGTTTTAAGATTGAATTGAATAGTGTACAATTATCAGAATATTTGTTGATTACAGCTCTGAGTTGTTGTGATGTTTATCGATCATAGTGTTTCTCAGCGTGAAACTTGAGGAAAGTGCAAGGGTGCTGGAAGATTTGTATACATTTTTATTTTTCAAATAACCCTTTCTAAACACAAATAAGGAAGGGACATTTCATTTAATTTTATATCAATTAAAAGTCACTCCTTTTATTGTGTTTAAAAGAAAAGAAACAAGCAAGACATCACGCACGTGTCTCGCTCCAGTTTTCTCGCCCTCTGTCTCACTTTCACCAAGCCTTCTTGATAAGTGTCTGTCTTTTTTCAACTAGTGTTGGATCCCCGCTGTTTGTACTCACCATGCTTGTTGGCCAATGACAGATGGGATTCTGGGCGGCTGGCTAGTGAGGGAGGAGGGATTTCCCTCCTGCTGACACATAGCTCCGACCATATAAGATATCTCCGGAGTTTGAGATATAAATATATATTGTAATATACTGTAACTTGGGAGAACCTAGAGTCAGAATACCTTTATTAGTCCCACAGAGGGGACATTTAAATTGTTACATCGAAATTATAGAGGCAAAATATGAATTAAGAGCCATGCATAAAATATTAGAGATAGAGATGACAATTTACAAAAATTACCAATCCAGGTGGAAAACAATAAGTAAAGTAACAGTATTTAAAAAAATAAATAAAATAAGTGTTTTTTTTTATGCATGCTTCATTTACATTAAGCTGTCTTTGGCTCTTTCCTGCTGTAACAATGTAAATGTCCCCTCTGTGGGACTAATAAAGGTATTCTGATTCTGTTGTAGGGCTGGACGATTTTGGGAAAGAATCTAATTGCGATTTTTCTGACAAATATTGCGATTCGATTTCCGATATTTGTTTTTAAGCGACCCAACGGAAGTTTATTGTAAAATATCTCCGGCTAGGAAGGTCTCATCAACTTGCTCCCGTCTCTAGCACCCCTGCAGCCTGAGCTACGAGTGAAAGAACTAAACTTACATGAAACTTCCGTTGGGTTGCTTTAAAGTCAAGCTTCAGTTTAAGATTCACCCTGTAACATTACTAACCTGACTCAGATGCTTTGTTTCACCAAATCATCGAGGAAAGCTTCGTTGGAAGCCATTTGGAAAGGGCAGGCACTTTCAAAAATACTTGGCAGGTGATTGGATCAATCTGTCTATCACCTTCTATCATGGGCCATATTCTGATTGGTTAACAATGGCTGGTACATGTGGAGCACAGCCCTTCTGATTGGTTAACAATGGCTGGTACATGTGGAGCACAGCCCTTCTGATTGGTTAACAATGGCTGGTACATGTGGAGCACAGCACTTCTGACTGGTTAACAATGGCTGGTACATGTGGAGCACACTCCTTCTGATTGGTTAACAATGGCTGGTACATGTGGAGCACAGCACTTCTGATTGGTTAACATGGCTGGTACAGTGTG